GTAATCATTTTTTAGTATTTAAAAATATTCTACAATTGAAATATCCAGAACTGAATTAATTTTAATGATTTACATTAACTAAAAAAAAAAAAAAATTATCAATTTGAATCCCTCTTGTGGGCAGGCAAAGGGTAAGATTTATAAAAAAAAAACCAAATGATTGACAGGTAAAAACATGCATCTAAATAAAAAAAAATTATACAGATGTGATCTTTTTGATAAAGTTATAACAGTTAACAAAGTTATAAGTTTTATACACTGGACTACAAGGAAATTTCATCAGAAACAAAAATATACTATTCAAAATCAACTTTTCACGATGTTTTCAAATCTGCAATTAGACTTTTTCTATCTAAATTTTAATATTATTACTTATTATTAAGAAATAATTAAGAAATAAAAAATTGTTTTAAATTAATACTGATTTTGATTATTAATATGTTAAAAATAAGGAAAATGGCATATTTAACATATTTTTTTAATCTTTTATAGTTGAATTGTGTGAAAGTTAATAGTAAAAAAAAAATTATTATTACCATAACTTTTAGCTCAATTTGCAAGTTTGAAATTGACATCATTAAATAAAAAATTTTATGAGAATTAAAAAAATTGTATTGTTAAGATTAATATGCAGTTAGAAAGTTTTATAATTACTATTTATAGTAAATTTATCAGAGTAGCTCAATATTTTTTTGCTTTTTTATCGTAATAGAACACTTAAATAGAAATCATAGTAATCATTTCTAAGTAATTTTTGGTATTTAAAAAGATTCTACAATTGAAATATGAACTAAATTAATTTTAATGATTTAATTTAATTAAAATAACCAATAAAAAAAAAAAACACATCATAGTAAACTTAATACCTTCTCTTCGCATCGAAGCTAAAAAAGTGGTTAAAAAGATCTACTCAATAGCGTACTATAAAATTTGATTATAATTGTAAAAATCCATTGTTAATTCAGAAGAAACTAACAATCATTTTTTTTAGAAATGATTTATATAGCAACATGTTATCAAAAAATTTGGAATATTATAGTCTAGTAGTAGCACACCCAAATAGAGTAAAAAAATTATTAAATTACAAAGTAAAATGATTTAATTTTGTAGTTGAATCCTATCATATTAAATTATCATATCAAACTTGATTCATTAATAAACACTTTGAAAACATTAGAAATGAATGATTTTAATTGTCTGCGTGGAGAACATGGGATAAGTAACTGTTTCATTGATAAATTAGAATTTTTTTTTCAATTTTTGAGGGTAACTAATTGTAATCATTTGACGTATCGTTGAAAAAAGTAGGTCAAGTTAGAGCAGAGAAAATAAATGATAGTCACAAAAAAATACCTTCTCAGCTATGCATCGAAGCTAAAATCTAAAATATAGGCAAAATTTTGTTTTGCATGAGGCAAAACTAAAGTGATGGGATCCTTGATCTTTATTGAAGTTATTGAATCTAAATGAGATAAAAATCAAACGAGTTAAAAATGTATACTAACTTAAAAAAAATTGTTAAAAAAATGCAAAAAATTCATTGCCATACGCTGGTTGGAACCTCGTATACCAAGCGTGTAAAACACAAATTTTATAAACTCGGAACCCGTACGTAGCTAAAGTCGTTTGAAAAAATTGGCTATTTAATCTAATTCAAATTTCAAAATTATTTTTCTCGACTTAAAAGAAGGAAACAAATTTAAATAAGTTCTATTTATACTTTCTATGCTATATTAATTTTTCATTTATGTAATATTTATGAAAATCTGTACTCCCCTTGTCAGGTATTTTAAAATAAAATAAAATACAAAACCCAGACTTTTAACACAAAAATAGCATAATTTTGAATACGGTAGTCATTTTTACCATGAAGACAAATCCAGAGGTCAAATTTTTTTTTTTCAAATTAAAGCATATTACATAAGCTTTAATTTAATATATATATAAAAGTGTCAGTATTTCTGGAACATTTTCAAAAATCAAGCTGAAAAAATTATTTTGTGAAAAAGTTGTCATTTTAAATTCCCCCTCTATGGGCAGATAAAGGGTCAAATTTACAAAAAAAGTGTGTCAGATGAAAGGGGTATATAAAAATTTACTATAAAAAAATAATAATATTGATCCATACATTTTTTCAAAAGTTATATAAAATATAAATGAAATAATATAAAATATAAAATCGAGAATTTTTTTCATGGAAATCGTACGTTTTTCTTTAACTTTGATGTCCATTTTCACCACGAAGACAAGTCCAGTGGTCAAATTTTTTTTTTCAAATTAAAGTATATTACATAAGCTTTAATTTAAGATATATATAAAAGTGTCAGACTTTCTGGAACATTTTCAAAAGTTAAGTTGAAAAAGTTAATTTTTTGTAAAAAAGTTACCATTTTGAAACCCCTTCCTGTAGGCTGTTAAAGGGTCAAATGTTAACCAAAATATAAAAAATGATAGGTAAATATCTAAGGTATTTATAAAAAAAAAAATTATATTGATTCGATCATTTTTAAAAAAGTTATGGCAAGTTTAAGTAAAAAAAATTTCGAAAATTAGCGATTTTTAAATTTGTAATTTTTTAGGGGATTTCCCCCGTTTACGGGGAACGAGGGAATTTTTTTCAATTCTTGAGGGTAATGTCTTCGACTAGATACGATTTGTGATCTTTTAACGTATCGTTGAATGCAATCGGTTTCGTGAGAGCTGAATAAAAGTGGTAAGACACACAAAAAAAAAAAAAAAACACATAGTAATACTAATACCTTCTCAGCTTTGCATCGAAGCTAAAATATGAACACAATATAACATGTTTTTTATATACGGCAGCCATTTGCATGTTATATGGACGCAGTATTTCTGGAACATTATCAAATGTTAAGTTGAAAAAGTTGACTTCCATAAAAAAGTTGCGTTATGACTCCCTCCTTGAGGTAGTTAAAAGGTTAGAATGTAAAAAAAATTATACTAAAGAAAAGCAAAATACTTAAGGTTTCTATTAAAAAAATTATTTTGATTTGTTAACTTTTGAAAAAGTTATGGTAATTTTATGAAAAAAAGTGAAAAAAATTTCGAAAATGAATAACTTTTAAAATTGTAGTTTTTTTGACATTTCCCTCATTTACGTGGAATGACGAAAATTTTTTCAATTTTTAAAGGTATGTCTTCAACTAGATACGATTTGTGATCTTTTGAAGTATCGTTGAAAGATATCGGTCCAGTGAGAGCTGAGAAAAAGTGGGAACAGACAAAAAATAATAATAAAATAAAAACGTTAGCACAGTGAGGTCGCTGCGCAGTATATGTGTGGCATAGTTGGGACAAGTATAGATGATATTTGATAGTGATTAAAATCACTATCATAAGAAACGTTTCGATGCAAATTTTTAGATAGTGTTTAATTTTAAGAAATTGGTAGATTATACCAAAAACAAAATTAATTCATATATCCTTAATTATATCCTAATTAGTGGTTCTTTGATTTAAAAGTATAGTAGAAAGCAAAATTAACTCCTATTTCTTCATTATTCCTAATTAGTAGTTGCTTTATAAGTATAATTTATGAATAAATATCTATTAAAGTAATTCAACGTAGTCTGAAAGTGATGCAAACTTTCTCAGCTTTGCATTGAAGCTAAAAAACTAAATTAAGTTTTGTAAAAAAAAAACTATATTAAGTTTTGCAAAAAAAAAAAAAAAGATATCGTAGCGTACTAGTTTCGTACTAGTTGAAAAGTCGTTCAATAGTAATAAAATCACAAATATTTAACTACTGAAAAATGTTTAATCAAATAATTCAGCTTTTATAATTGATAGTAAAAAATAAAAGTCAAGAAATTAAACCTATCTAACAAAATATTTTTTTTAACTTAATGTTTAATTGTATAAATGTTCATATATCTGTCAAATAAATGTTACTCACGATTTAAGTACATTATTATTTCTGTGTAAACTTAGCTTATTTGAATGTTTACTCATACATCTTATATCTCGTCCATCAATTATTTAGAGACCTGTCATTGCGGTTACTCGTCACGTTTCACCCCCCTCCCCCATTTGACTCCAGGTCATAAACTTGAATACCGGAGGCAGTGTACCGTCTCCCTCGTTTATAATTACACGCATATATGTGGATACCATTGATATCTAGATGGCACCACTTCCAGGGTCTGGAGATAGATAGTAGTATCTAGTATTATCAGAAGGGAAAATTAAGTCAAGTCGTGAGTCGGCTAAGACGTGTCTCTATGTATATTCTTTAGTTTATAAGTGTATTTTGTTTTATATAATATTTTTGTGTTGTGTGAATATTTTATATAGAGTTTTCGTGTGTAATTAAATATATGTGTTATTTTTGTTTGTTAACATTTAATAGTTTTTTGTGTATTAATTTATACATATATATAAATTAAATAATAGTATTGCGTCTTCGCTCTGTTCCTGTAATTGCCTGTTTGCATTTTCCCACATATATGCATCCAGACTTCTTTTCAGCTGTCATGTACACTGCCGATCACCCAAACAATAGTGTTTTCTATTGAAAAAGAAACGTTTAACGAAAATTATAGAACAGTTTGATCGTAAATATGTTCATTATCGTGTAAAATCAATTTTTGATTGAGTTAAATTTTCATAGATCAAAACTGTATAACTTAAATGAATAAACGCCTCTTATTATTTACACTATTTAGGTAAAATAGTCACTTAGTAACCCATTTTATTATAAAAATAAAAAATATAAAATGAGTTATGATATAAGTTATATGTTTTAAAATAAGATAATTTATTCTTAAAAAAATTTACAAATTTTTACAATTACAAAAATCTATATTTTATATGAAAATTACATTTATTTCGTTTACAAATAACGTGTATATTAAAAATAATATAATGATTTATGGAAATTTCTGTATCATTTTTTTACATAATAATATTTTATTTTTTTTTTCGATTTCATAACATGGTTTATATAAAAAAATTGCTTAATAATTAATTTTATTTTTATTTATGCTAGGTATGTATTGTTGGTAGTTAAAAATTACCCTCAGGACTTTATAATTTTTAAATATACAGCATGATTTTTCTCAAAAATGTGTTATTTTAGAGAACAACTTATAGAGATTATACAAAAAAGTTTTTACAAAAGAAACATGCTTAATGTGCATTTGGAAAAGAAAAACGTCAAAGAAAACGTTCCTCGTAAAATTTTACTAGAAGAAAAATTTTAGATGCCTATTAGATCAACGTAATTATGGCATCGATTTAAGAGATTTTTTTATTTTAAATTTGACTTTAGTTATGATGCACATTTCAAGTTTAAACCAAAAATATTAATTTATACATTACTAAAACAATGTGAAAGTTTTCATGATTTTCTGTATAGTTTGATGAAATGTCCGTGATTAAATATTATTAATTGAATATAAATAAATATGTACAGACATTTAAAACAATGTTATGGATACGCTTCAAAAACAATTTTCGATGACGTTAGTCCGAAGAAAACAAATATTCAAAAGACTGAAATTAAAATATAATTTCACGTACTCGTTTATAGTTTCACGATATAATACAACTCGTGTATCTGTTCAACATTTTTAATACAACCAAAGCAACTTGAGGCAAAAACAATCTCAGATGCTGCAACTTATTCTGGGTTTAAAACACCTTTTTTTCGGTATTATATAATTTCCCTCTGCAGGAGTGGGAGCTTTACGTTTATAAGGGTTGTAAGTCATATCACTATCAGTCTCCTCAATGATTACATGTACCGGTATAACTTGATCAGTCTCAAGCAATGTATGAGGATTGCACTCCATTTCTTCATTCAAAACACTAACTTGACGAGGAATATTACAGCCATAAACTTTTTTGAATAAACGTTTTGATTCTTCAATCGAAGAATTATATTTCCGTTGGATCAATTCGATGTACCTTTTGTGACTAACACGAGGTAGTTTTGCCTTAAATTCATTTTTCTGGGAAACGTTTAATAAACCGCAAACGCCAGTATTGGATCTTAGATGACCTGAAAAAATTAATTAAGAGTTATTAAGCGTTAAACAATTTTTTACTTTTTAAAAGCTCGAAAAATAAAATACATATGAAAAAAAGTGTTTCAATATAATTGAGATTGGTATTATAGAAGTTTTGATAAAAAGAAAACTATTGGGTACAATAAATACAATAATCAGACGGTTTAACAAATGTTTAATTTTTTATTAAAATCTGTAACGACAAATGAATTTTTCAACCATAAATGTTTGATAAGTTTGAAATATTTAGGGGTAGTTCTGATACAAATATTATTTCATTTTACTCAAATTATTTAAATAAATTATACATCATTTTTTATCTACTAACCTTTTTGTCTTCTAGACATGAAATACGGATGATAATTGACTTTATCCATCTGAAGCTGACAGGAAATGAGTCAATGATGTGTATTTACAAAATAATACAAAACTTTTAAAAGCTTCCAAACAATTGAAAATACTGATCACAAATTTGTCTACAGAGCGTAAATTTTACAGCTAACGAAGTTAAGAAACTAACTAGAATTGTTTGGAACAAATTGTTTGTTTATTTTTTTCAAATTTTAAAAAAAATAACACTAGGTAACGAAATTAGCTTGTTAATATATTTTTATTAACAGTTTTTTTCTAGAAATAAATATTAATGTTACTAGACACAATTTCATATTTTATCATTATTAAAACGCCCGTTAATATTTAAAACATTTCGTCATGTTATTAATTCAACTCAAAATTTCAGTTTATTAACATAATTCAAATTTAAAGAAGATAAAAGTAGCATTTATCATGGTTTTATAATATCATCTAGTATTTATTAAATATTTTTTTAAATTTCCAAAAATTGTATACAACTAAAAATTAATTTTTTAACACAACACTTGATTTAAAGTCTTCAATTATATATCATTGTGATATAATTCAAATAAAAAATATATATAATATACCAAAGAATGTTAATTTACATATTTTATAATTTAATTGACTTCATCATAATAATTTTATATAATGAATTACTACACGTAGCTGTTTTATACTCGAAACAAGAATACAAATAAATGTACTTTTAATAATACAGATAATCATACTGTTTTATTTTATGTAAACTATGCTGTGATCACAGAGTAAAAACTTTTACATCTTTTATGTGATTACAAGTAGGTACATTTTAGTGGATAAATGTGCGTGTAGACAATTTTAGAAATGATTTTCGAGAGACTAATAAAAATACAATTTTATAAAATGAATTTATTGCCATAACATGTAACTCAACTTGCAAGTTTGAAATTGACATTATTAAATAGAAAAAAATAAAATTGTTAAGATTAATATGCAATCAGGGAATTTTATAATTACTATTTACAGTACATTTATCATAAAAGTTAGATTTTTTTACATTTTTATCGTAATAGATTACTTAAATAAAAATCATAGTAATCATTTCTAATTAATTTTTGGTATTTAAAAAGATTCTACAATAGGAATATTCAGAATTTAATTAATTTTAATGATTATATATCTAAAAAAACCAATAAAAAAAAAGTTAATCCATTTAGAGTATTATAAAAATTGATTATAATTGTAAAAATCCATCGTTAAATTCAGGTGAAACTAAAAATCATTTTTTTTTTTAAATTTATGATTTATATAGCAACCATGTTACAAAAAAATTTGGAATATTATAGACTGGTAGTAGTACACACAAATAGTGTTAAAAAATTAATAAATTACAAAGTAAAATTATTTACTTTTGTAGTTGAATACTTTTATCATATCAAATCTAATTCGAGAATAAATACCAAATAAATAAATATCAAATGATTTGAAAATTTTATTCTAACTCAAAAAAATGCAAAATGTTGATGGCCACAAACGGGGTTGAAACTCGTACCCTAAGCATGAAACTCACAAGTGTTACCGACTCAACAACTGTTCGTTGCTTACGTAGTCCGATAAAATTAGCTATTTAAGCTGACTCAAATTTAAAAATTACTTTTTCGACTTTAAAAAAGCAAAAAAAATTAATAAGTTTAATATCTTATGTCTTATGAACTTTATTCTATGTCAATTAAATTATATAATAATCATGAAAGTCTATGTATTCCTTTAATAAGATATTTTAAAAGAAAAGTACAAAACCCAGAATTTTAATACAAAAATAGCATATTTTTGAATACGATAGCCATTGACGCATAGAAGATAGGTCGACTAGACAAATTTTTTTTTTTAATTTTATTGTACATGACATAAGTTTTAATTTGACATATGTTTAAAGGACGCAGTATTTTCGGAACATTTCAAAAAATAAGTAGAAAAAGTTAGTTTTTGTAAAAAAGTTGCTATTTTAAATCCCCCCTGTGAACAGAATAAGTGTTATATTAAAAAAAAAAATGATATTTAATGAAAGGGAAATATTTAAGGTTTCAATATAAAAAAATATTATTTTGATTTGTTAATATTTGAAAAAGTTATGGCAGTTTTAAGTACAAAAAATATCCCAATAGAAGGTGATTTTTTTCGCAAATATTACATTTTTTTTAAATTTCGACAGCGATTTGCATATAGAAGATAAGGTGTCGGGACAAATTTTTTTTTCATTTTATAGTATATAACATAACCTTTGATTTGATATATGTTTAAAGGACGCAGTATTTCCGAAACATTTTCAAAAGTTCTATTTTTTAATAGAAGTTTTGAACGCCCCCTATATAAGGGGAAATTGTCCAATTTTAATAAAAAGTAACTCAAATGAAAGATGTACTTATAATGTATTTAGAAAAAAAATTTGCTGATACATACATTTTTCGAAAAGTTATAGCATTTTTAAGTTGAAAATTTAAAATCGAAAATTTTAACACTAAAATAGCGTTTTTTTAACTACGGCAGTCGTTTACATGCAGAAGATAAAGTGTTGGGACAAACTTATTTTTTTTAATTTATAGTATATAACATAACCTTTGATTTGATATGTGTTTAAAGGACGCAGTATTTCCGGAACATTTTCAAAAGTTCAGTTGAAAAAGTTCTATTTTTTATACAATGTTTCAAAGTTTGAACCCCCCCTATATAAGGGGAAATTGTCTAATTTTAATAAAAAGTATGTCAAATGGAAGATGTACTTATAATGTATTTAGAAAAAAAAAATTGTGCTGATACATGCATTTTTCGAAAAGTTATAGCATTTTTAAGTTGAAAATTAAAAATCGAAAATCGAAAATTTTAACACAAAAATAGTGTTTTTTTAACTACGGCAACCGTTTACATGCAGAAGATAAAGTGTCGGGACAAATTTTTTTTTTTCATTTTATAGTACATAAAATAAGCTTTAATTTGATATATGTTTAAAGGACGCAGTATTTCCGGAACATTTTCAAAAATTAAGTTGAAAAAATTAGTTTTTGTAAAAAAGTTGCTATTTTAAATCCCCCCCAATAAGCAGATTAAATGTTAAATTTTCAAAAAAATGACATCAAATGAAAAGAAAATATCTAAGGTTTTAGTATAAAAAAAAATTTTGTTGATTTGTTGATTTTTGAAAAAGTTATGAAAGTTTTAAGAAAAAAAAGTGAAAAAAATGACAAAATTTACCGATTTTTAAATTTGTAATTTTTTGGATATTTCTCCCATTTGCGGGGAACGAGGGAAAATTTTTCAATTTTTAAGGGTAATGTCTTCAACTAGATACGATTTGTGATCTTTTGACGTATTGTTAAAAGAAATCGGTCCTGTGAGAGCTGAGAAAAAAAGGCAACAGAAAAAAAAAAAAAAAAAAAACACATCATGGTAAAATTAATACCCTTCTCATCTTCGCATCGAAGCTAATAAAATAACCTGCTAATTATGGGGTAAACTTATTGTATTTATTGTACAAATTTTTAAGTAAGGACTCCGCGCAGGGCCCTCATTGTAATGAACCTATTAGAATAAAGCCTCAGATTTTGATATTATGTTAGAGATTGCTAGACTATCTCCTTCTGACTATAAAAATCCATTTTTCCCTTTCAAAACCAGTTCTTTAGGTAACTTCAAATATACAAATTCTGCAACACTCTACTCAAGATTCTCTCTCTTGTAATCATTCAAAATATAATAAAAAGAAAAGATGTAAAAATAGTGTAATTATGTAAAAAGGCTAGATGCGGTAGAACACATTTGAATTACTACATATAATTAATTATATTTTGTTATTTTATTCTGTTGATGTGTTGAATTGTAAATATACGGTTTTATGAATGTTAAGCAACCTTGAGTGGCAAGTGCGTTTATACAGCCTTTCTCCAAGGCTTCTTCCTTGAGTGGCGCCGTCAACAGCACGGTCGTCTCACACTCAAGATTTTTAAAATGTGTGTATACCGTATATTCTTACAATATAATATTTAATTACGGTTAATGATTTTTGAACACTCATAAGAACCTTTTGTTTAAAAACGATTAATATTATTCTATCCACTAAAATGTGTTTATAAGGATTGGTAAAATTGAACGCTTTTCTTTGTTCTTATTTAAAAGCTTAAAAATAACTTGTAATCAGGTAAAAATAATTTGAACGCTGAAATAATATTTGCAAATATCACTGGATACCCAACAATCGAAATTCACGTTCACCAAGTTCTATTACTCCTTGGGCTTGGAAAGAATATTTGTTCTTTTGATATCCACGTAGGACATAGAGAGTAATAAAGCGAGAGATTTACAAAAGCGAACTGGCGAGCCTTAGCATTTTTTTTTACTTTTACATGTTAGATACTCTTTGTCTCTTTTTTATAATCTCGATTGTAGTAGTGTTCAATGTGATTATTTTATTCTAAACATATGTATTAGTTTTTACATGGCAAACAATACTTAGATTATTAATTAAAAATATGTATGTATAAAATGTCACATGAATTTTGATTATTATAAATTTCATTATCAGTATGATATTCAATAAAAATTTTATAATGTAGTCACTTTTGTTGTATTTATATAAATTATTTGAAAGTTAGTCAAAAGTGAAGTTCGTGGGTATTACATCACTCTCTAAAACTAGTCGTTTTTTTTTATTAATTTGAATTTGGAATATTGTTTAATTTAAAAACCTTAAATGTTTTGTTTAATTATTTATGGATTATTTTTTCAAATAAAATGACACCTTATCACTATCAATTATTATCAATACTTATCACAAATATGCTGCGTCCCTACTGTGGTGGGTTTTTTTATGATAAAATTGTTTGTTAATTTTAAAATCATAAAATTAAAATAATTGTAGTGTAATTATAATTTTTAATTATTAAATCAAAGTAAAATAAGCATTTCGAGCATCTATCACCAACATATTAAATATCCACAAAACAATTCATTGATACTTATTTTAAATATTTAGTAGATCATTTCGTTTTTAAAGAAAATGACCATGAACTTTTACAAGTTTTACTATGATCATTGACTATCAAACTCTAGATAAGAATATCATTGTTTAAATTTAATAAGCATCATCTATGAACAATAAAAAATTTTGTATATATCTGCTGGTCTACAGGGCAATCATTTATATTTACACAGGGAAATGATGCAATAAACTATATAAGAATGTGAATGCATTACTTTATTATCTAAATTTATACTATCCAAAAGTAATGAACCTAACTTAAATATATTCGTATGCATAAAACTCTAAAGTTATCGATCGTACTGATCTAAATTTAAATTAACAGTTTACTTTAAATTATGTTTTGTATTACAATATGTAAATTATCTCAGATATACAACTTTCGAGACAGCAAATAGTTAATAGACTATTTTTAATGAGTTTTTACTCAATTTTATGTCTTAGAAAATATAAAATTTAAAAACGAGGGATGATGATAAATTATTTTGTATGCAAATTTGAAATGTGTATTGCTTCACTCTGTATAAAATGAACGTTGGTTTATGTATTAAACTTGTACAAAACTCTGTAAATGACACATATATAACTCGTATAAACTTGATATGAGTAAACCTTTAGTTAGGAGATAAGGTTGCCATTAAAAAAATAATTTCATTCTATAAAAGGATGTGCTGTCAGTAAAAACAAACAATAGTCAGACAAAAGCTAGGCAAGTTAAAAACATTTTGTTAAAAAGAAAAATTCTTAAATAAAATATTTTTATTTTGCATTTTCTTATTAATTTTACTTTTTTTAAATAAGTTCAACATTTCATACACCGTGTTTGAAATTTGAATTGTATTATACATTTAAAACTATATGATATAAACTATTACGTAATTAGTCTTGTGTTAGTTGTTCATTTTGTTTAAAAATGAAAATTTTCTTATTGTTTTTCTTGGCTGTGATTAGAAGTAATCAGATTTCCTCTTTTATTATTGGCGATTCTTTACTAATAAAACTACTCAAATATAATTCAATAATTGGTAAGTCAAAATCACAATTATCAATTATTTTATTTTAATAGACATTATTATAATCAATAGATAACCAAAGAAACACGATTGATCAGCTTTTAGTAAATTTCGCAGAACATTTTAAAAACAATATAGCTAATCAAAGCACAGTATTATATTTAAATGATATACACTTAGTAAACGTTGAAAACATATATATGAAGTAAGTATTTTCATAAAAAAATTATTGTTTCTTATTATCAATCAGCAATTTGGCATGAATTTATGCTTCAACAATTCCAGAAAATAATTTGAGGACTTTTTGTATTTAGTGTTAATGCAACGTTGAGTAATGTAGAGGTTAACGGCTTTGATAAAATAGAAATATTAAATGTAACTGCAACAGTTTTCGACGGAAATAAATGGATAATTACCTTTAATATACCTGATCTGGAGTTCAAAGCTAATTACAGTTTATCAGGTGATCTCAAACTTGACAGTTCCTGGATAACAAATAATACCATTGTTTCACAGAGTGCTGGCATTATCAAGTACTTAAATTGATTTAATTAAAAATTAAAAATTTAAATTTACTAATCAAATATTTAATTTTAAAAATGTCTACTTTAACTCAAAAAAAACGGTAGCACAGTTTGAGCGTGGCATAGTAGAGACTAGTATAGATGATATCTGACAGTGATTAAAATCACTATCATAAGAAACGCTTCAATCCAAACCTGTAGTTAGTGTTTAATTTTAAGAAATAAGTAGATTATTACAAAAGCAAAAATAACATCTATTTTTTGTACTACTTTGACTGCCATTTGCACAAGAAATTAGGTCGTCGGTACAAATTTTTTTTGAACTTGTAGTACATAAAATAAGCTTTAAATATAACATATATTAAAAGGGGCAGATTTCCCGGAACATTTTCAAAAGTTAAGTTAAAAAAGTTCTAGTTTTATAAAAATTGTCAAAAATTTAAAAAATCTTTTCTTAACTTTGAAGAGGCAAAATAATAAAAATAAGTATAAATTTAATGTAAATTAGATTCATGTAAATTTTGTATTTATTGGTGGATCATTACTATGGCTAACCTTTATAAGATATTTTAACATAAACAAAAGAAATAAAATTAGAACACAAAAATAGCATTTTTTTAACTACGGCAGCCGTTTGCACATAGAAGATGAGTCGTTGGGACACATATATATTTTTTAATTTATAGTATGTTATATAAGCTTTAATTTGACATATGTTATAAGGACGCAATATTTCTGGAACATTTTTAAAACTTAAGTTGAAAAAGTTGAGTTTTGTAAAAAAGTTGCTATTTTGAATTCCCCTGTGGGCAAGTAAAGTGTCAGATTATCATAAAATTTATATCAAATGAAAAGGAATTACTTAATGTTTCAGTAAGTTATGTTAATTAAATTAAAAAAATTTCGAAATTTACCGATTTTAAAAATCGTAATTCTTTGGGCAATTTTCATCATTTATAGGGATCAAGGGAAAAATTTTTCATTTTTAAAGGTAATGTCTTCAACTAGAAACGATTTTGACGTATTGTTGAGAAAAATCGGTCCAGTGAGAGCTCAGAAAAAGTAGTGGCAGACACAAAAAAATAAAAATAAACACATCATAGTAAAATTAATTAATTTTCAGCTTTGCATCGAAGCTAAAATTTTTGAGTATATTTTTTTTTACATTTGAGACAACTCTGTGATTGATAATTTAGTTAGAACCTATTGAAAACAAACTTAATTTTTAATAACAATGCTAACAAGTGCATATTTTGTTTCTAGAACTCATCTCTATAATGTTACCTCGGTAATCACAACAACATTAGATGTGGATTTATTATCTAGAAATGTAAAGATTCAGAATGTATCAGTTGACTATAACTATAGAGAAGCTAAGGTATATATAATTGATTAATAAATAAAAGTAAATATTAATTGTAGTAAAAAATGCATTTATTATCTATGTATAGACTACAATAACTGGTTTAGATTTCCTGGGATCCTACATGAGATATTATGCTGTTAATCCAATTGCCAATTTAATTGTCGAATTTTATTTGGTACAGTACAAATTAAACATAACAGAAAGCTTAGCCAATGCAGTGGAAAACAAACTAAATCCAATTATGATGGAAAATGCAATATTTTCATTGACAGAAGTAATTTTGAAATATTCAAATGAACAAACTGAACTGTATGAATTAACTTAAATATGATAATTATACATAGTATTAACTATTAAACTTATAGCCTAATTATTTGTTTATTGTTCTAAATAAATCATATCAATGTTCACTTAATTAATTTGTTATTAATATATATATATATTACATAGCACTAATTCAAAATGTATTTGATTCTGTTAGAAATTATTATGTTAGTTTTTTCCATTATTTATTTATGTTTTATTTTTTGTTGGAATGTTCATACTAGGGTATAAACACCATACAAACCTTTAACTTGGGATATGAAATAAATACTATGTCTTCATTTTAAATTAATATTGGTTTTGTCAGTTATTAAAAGTGCTTTTTAATAATACTTTTTTGTCATTTCTTACTTGCCGATAAAAAATGAAACAGAACGCCTTGAATTAGGCATCTAAAATAACATAAAAGAAAATTATAGTATCTTAATTTTAAATCATGGGCTTTAAAAAATTCAAGCCGAATAGTAATTTCAACAATTTCCTTAAATATTAAGGAAAATTATCAATTTTGCTGTAAACGTATTGAAAGGTTTTTTAAATAAATACATTTTTATGGAATTATAAAATTATGTATCCTTTCATAATTTTGAACAATAATTTAAAAAACATAATCTATCGAATTATAAAATATCCCTAAATTTTAAATAATATGTTAACTGTGTTCGGTAGTCACATGAAGATTTTAGTTAAAGTAGGGTTTTTACTTATAGATTGATAATATACACTTAGGTGACAAAGCTTCCCAGGGGTAATAAAAATCTATTGAGATATTAATAAATATTTTATTAAGCATTCCAAACATTTCTAAAGAAATAAAAATAATTACATAAAATAACTTTTTGAACAATTGATTGTTAAAACTTTTGAATCTCTTTAAGTTTTAAAAGACTCTCTATAATAAAAACATTACAGAATTTATTACAAAAAACTATTTAAGTGTAGACTTAAACATGATATGTGTATATTATAAAATCATATTATCTTATTAATTAGATTTTCTTTAGGATAATTAAGATCTAGTGACATTTATATATAAAAAAATACAAAATTGTAAACAATTTAACAAGTATCATTTTGATAATTTAATGAATTGCATTGATTTTTTACTTCACAGCTATTTTTCGTTGGACACCAGCCACAATTAAACTTATCTTGTAAAGCTAAACATGCACCGCAACTTTTAGCCATTTCAGTACATTTGTAAATAGTAATATGTAAGTTATTTATATTGTCTAAAGGTACAAAATCACCCCACAATATTTCTAGTTGAGCATTCTGCGTAGAAGATTGGGAACTAAACTTAGTCTTTTCGCATATAATTGTATTCGCATTATATGTTGCGCTTACGTTGTATACAATTCCGTCAATAGTAAATCTGCATGAAAACCCTTTCTTAAAAATAAATTGACCAATTATGTCAACGTTAACTTTGACCAACTCTTCTTGATCCGATGGTATAAGTATTTCAAAATTTTCAGAATTAAATACATTAACTTTCGGACAATAATAAGGTCCTTTTCTTGCATTCATAACTGTACCTTTTTTGTTTGTAATTACAGCATCGTAAATACACTGTTTTTGATAACTACTGGTACAAATGTGTTTCTCCATACACCAGTCACACAAAAATAGTGAGGTAACACATTCAGTACACGATTTATAGGTTGAACAATTGAAATTAATAGAATTAACAATTACTTCTGAAGAACCAATTTTACTGGATTTAGTTGATTCTAATACTCCATTTCGCATATTTAATATATCAATTGTATTAAAACTTCTGGAAGCTACTAATAAAGAAGTAAAGTAGAGTAATGTTAACAACTTATGGCGGTATGTATGATGAGCCAATACGCTGTTAAAACTCCCATCAAATTTGAAAGTATTAAACATTTTTAACTATTTAAATTTTTCTGCAAATAAAACTAAAAATTTTAATAATGCCAACTAACCAATTCTGATTATATACTAATAAAAAAAAAAAAGATAATTATCGAAAACGACAGTTTTATATATTTTAGGACACCAAAGTTAATAAATATAAAACATTTTTGTTATATAAATAAACTTTTGTATCATAAAATAAATTTTACTTAATTTTTTTCATGAAGTGCTATTATTAGTAATATAAGTAAATTATTTAAAACACCCAAATTCCATCTTTAAAATAAAAAGATGCATCCTAAAAAAATTTCACTTTACACATTCGTGACGAAGCTTTTTATTATAATAGTTTAAATCAAAACTTACGATTTCTATGTGTACATATTTCAATTATTCCTGATCTTTTTATTATACCAGTTACCGATTATATAGGTTTTTTAATTTTAGCAATATAAAACTGTAATTAATATATTCACAATATCAAACTTAATTACCTTTAAAAATTAAAGTAATATTTCAAAGAAATTTTTTTTAAAAACTAATGCTGCATAATATCTTTAGTTTTAGTATAAATAGAAGTTCTAACTAAATCTGTATAAGTACTAATTACTGTTGCTTATGTTTAAATAATTTATAAACAAATTAGACTAACATAAGTGATGATAATATAATATTTGTTCAATTTCCATGACTAATTCAATGTCCATTATACAGAGTAATTTACTAACTATGTCTCACGTAATATCTTTTAAAAATACAAGTGTTATAAACAATTTTTTTTAAACATTATGAATTTGATAAGCTGTTTCACAAGAAAAATTAAATTTCTATCATCATTTCTTATACTTAGAACTTGTATCAAATTCAGATTTTCAAATGGCAACCCCATATTATTTTTATATATTTTTTTTCGTCATAAAAAAAAATATATTTAGCAAAAAAAAAATAAAACATAAATTTTGAATAAGATACGCTACTTTATAATTTACGATATTTGATATAAAATTTAGTTGTTTTTCCAACACGGTCACATTATTATTTTGTGTAGCGATAAGGCTACCGGTTCACTGTGTCAACGCATGTAGTTAGAATAGGCCTTATCGATTTACTACCTATAACGTGCAAGTTTGTTATAATTTTTTCTTAATAAACCATAAACTTTAGAAAGCCATGGAGCACTTAATATAAAATAAAATATTTTTTTTACAAAATATTTTTTTTGTTAAACTAAATCTAATAGTGTAAAAAAAAATTGGGTTGTCTTTTGAAAATATGAAATTGATACAAGTTTTAAGCATAAGGGATGGTGGTAAAAATTTACATTTTCTTGTGAAACATCTCAACAAAGATCCATAATGATAAAGAAAAAAAATTGTTTATAACACTTGTATTTTTTAAGATATTACGTGAGACATAGTTAGTCAATCACTCTGTATATTTACAGTAGAACTCCAATTATCCGAACTCCGATCATCCGAATCGCCGATTATCCGAATCACTTTCAGAAAAAATCAGAAAAAAATTTGTCCAAAGTCCGCGGCGTCAGTGTAGGCACAACGAGTGGTAAGAGTTCCCACTCCAGTTCCGGCGCATTGTAGTCACCTGTCATTGTTTATTTTGATTAGTCAGTGAATGGGTCCCGGTCCCCATTAATTCGGATAATTGGAGTTCTACTGTATTATCTTATTTTTTAATTTATCTTACAGGTCAAAGGTTTCGATTATATTTTATTTAAAAAAACTATTTGTTATTGAAAAACATTTACGCGTATTAAATTACCTAATGATTATTGTACTCTTCACGAGTTAAGTTCATTGTATAACTAATAAGATACATTATTTTATAATTTTATATTGATTATGCTCATAATGCTACTGTAATAAACTTTAATTAGTAATACTTGATAATAATTTCTTAAATGTATTTTTTTAAAGTAACTGACTTCTTAAAGCATTTAATTAATTTAAATTAGTTTTTAATGAAAACTACCTCCAAAATGACAAAACTTTATATTTATTCTGTACCACTTAATTTGATTACAGGTTGTCTAAGTTTTATTACTACATTGATATTTTATAATTCTACGTTGATAACTAAATTTATTATCCTATTAAAAGTTTGTATTAAATTTAATAAGTACCTAAATAATCAAAGAAACTAAAAGACGGTAATCAAATACAAATTTAGCAAATTTAAAAAGAGATTTATTAAAATTGAATTTTTTTTTATTTCTGAGTTTTTTCATTACTAGTGGTAGAAAATTAGTAACGTTATTAAGAAAGTTGGCTATTAATGGAAAAAATTACTTCAAGATCCTTTTCGAAATGTTAATGATTAAATGATGAAGATATTTATAGAGTGAAAGGTTAAACAATATTCTTAAATATAAGGAAAAAAATATTTAGCAATGTTAGAATTAAAATTATAAAAAAAAAAAAGCACATGCTCTAAAAGACTCACTACTACTGAATACCTACTGAATGTATAAATCGTTGAAAAAACTTCTAAGATTCAAACTTATGGAAAAGACTTCTTTGGAAACAAATAGTAAAAGAAAAATTAGACAATTATTTATTCACGTCACGATTAGCAAATTCCTTAATACCACGTTAAGAAAAGATCACGTGACCTAAGCAACAGTACAATCTCCTTGAAATGTGTTGCAATTGATAACATGATAGCATGCTTTGTTTACATTTAAGGAGCCTTATAATATTTATACTATTGTAATTACTTTAAAATTAATTTTTTTAATGTTAAATAGTATTTATTTTTACACTGATAAATTTTCTGTATTTTTTTTATAAATGTAATTAAAATTTACTTTATATTTAGGTAAGTTGGCAATGAAATGGAAGTTCTTTTAAAATCAATTTATTAAAAAAATGTATATATAATATATATATTTATTGATACATAATCATTTAATTGGAAAGTTATACCTTTTATATATTTAATTATGATACATTTATGATCGTAATTTTAGATTAAATTAAAATGGTTAAAGATGAAGAAATGCGTTATATGGATTCGGATGACCAAGAAAGTGTTGGAGGACAAAGAATGAGTAACAGGTTAGTTTCATAATAGTAAATAAATTTGTTTTATAAACATTTTAAAATATCTATTACTTAAATTTATTGTATTTATAAGTGATATAAATTCTATGAGTAAAGTTTCAAGATTTCAAATACCAAACATTCAGCATTTTTTTGTTAAAAATTTGTTCTATTTATAAAACATAATAGTGAATAAATATAAATTAAATATACTGGCGGCCAAAATTATTAGATCACCAAAGAAATTCGAATTAAAATTTCTGTCGATAATTTTTTGCAGGTGAATTATTTTTTCTTTGAATCTACAGCAATCATGTTTGTTACTATTATAATAATATTTAATAAACCAACAAGATATCAAATCTTATTTGAAAAAAATCTTAAAGTTATTGTGTGATCTAATAATTTTGGCCGGCAGTATATAATTATGAATAAGTAACTTTTTAAAATTTATATACATTATTAATTATTTATTTTAGCCAATATTGCGTACATGTTATATGTTATGATATACATCCTAAACTGTTTTTAATATTTCATTTTTAAACACAAAAAAATAATAATTTAATAGTTAAATCTATAAAGTTTTTAAATTAACATTTTTATAAATTATCTTAGTTATTTAAAGATTTGTTGGTAAATAATTATTAGATTACTTATTAGATAATACAATGTATTATTAACAAGTTTTTAGTAAATTATAGTCTTTTAATTATTTATAATAGAAGTGTATTGTAAATATGACATGAATTATAATTGGCTGTTGCTCTTAGTATATCTACCATTCTTTCAAATTTAGTGTTGTCAATAAATATTTCATTTTTTCTGATTGATTGAAGATAAAATAATAATTTTTTTAATTTGAAGTTCATTTGTAATATTTTTAAAAGCTAAATCTAAGTGCAATAAATAATACTATAAAGTTTCTATATTAAAATAATGGAATTGTAATTTAAATTTAAAAGATATTATTATTTTTAGATCTTATTAATGACTCAAGTTTAATTCAAAAACTATTATTTTAATTTAAAACTATTCAAACGTTCATATATATTTGGTTTTACTTTATAGTATAATACTTTATTTATAATATCAATAACGTTTGTTGTATGGAATAAATCAAACTTTCAGGAAGTATAGACAGATGTCACAGTTTCTTATTGTATTATAAAAGTTGATATTTGAATCAATTAGTTTACCTGAAATAGGTAAATGAAATTATGTTCAATAATCACTTTTAAATAAATGATTTCAAGGACAAAGTTAATCAATTACTGAAATTATCATTGCATACTCGTATAATATATTTATTTTAGCTTTGCTACGAAGCTCAGAAGGTGTTAAATTTACTATGATGTTTTTTTTATTTATTTATGTCTGTTACCACTTTTTCTCAGCTCTGGCTGAACCGATTTCTTTTAATGATAAGTCAAAAGATCAAAAATCATATCTAATCGTAGACATTATCCTAAAAATTAAAAAAATTACCCTCGTTCCCTGTAATTGGGGCAAATCTCCAAAAAATGTACAAATTTAAAAATCGATAATTTTAGAAATTTTTTTAACTTAAAACTGCCACAACTTTTTCAAAATTGACCAAAATGATATAATTTATTTATTATAGATGCATGATGTTTTTACCTATAATTTGGTATATTTTTTTTATAAATCTGACCGTTTACCTGCCTACAGGAGGGGATTCAAAATGACAACTTTTTCACAAAAAATTTACATTTTCAGCTTAACTTTTAAAAGTGTTCCGGAAAGNTGCCTACAGGAGGGGATTCAAAATGACAACTTTTTCACAAAAAATTCTGACATTTTTATATATATCTTAAAGTAAAACTAATGTAATGTATTTTATTATGGAAAAAAAAATTTCGGACTTTATTTTGTCTTCACAGTGAAAATGGCTATCAAATACTATTTTTGTGTGAAAATTCTCAATTTTATTTTTTACATTTTTAACTTTATAATGTTATAACTTATTGAAAAGTGTATGGATCAACACAATTTTTTTATGAGAAATAATATTTTTTAATAATCCCTTTTTCATTCGACATACTTTATCTTAATCAGGATATAAATAAGGAAATAGCAGATCATGTAGCTTTTGGAATAATCCACCAATTTTTTAAAATTAAACACTAACTACAGATTTGCATCGATGCGTTTTTAATAATAGTGATTTTATTCACTGTCAGATATCATTATACTTGACTTAACTATGCCACGTCCCCACTGTGCTGGGTTTTTTTTATTTTGGTTGGCCCCAAGTACTTGCGATTAAGGAGAGTAAAAAGAAGAAGATAATTTTTTCTTGGTTAATATTTTTTTTGATTATCACAAATTAATTTTTATTTTAAAACTGATATGCTAAGTCATTGTAATTATTATTATAAATCTATATATTTTTGTTATATCTGTTGTATTATATTACAATCGTCATTTTTTACTAATTTATGAAACATTATTTAACTCAACAAAAAACAAAATATCCAAGTCTCTTAATAAAAAACCACTTTCTCACTCTCTAACTCGGTTTGGCTATGTGTATATTTAAAATATTAGATTGCTTAAAGGTAAATTTGTAACGGTGATATGTTTGCTGTGTTAAGTTAAATATTCTCAAAGAATGTATAAAGGTAATTAAAAAAAACTGTAAATTGCTTTTTGAAATTCGAATGATTAATGAAGTTCTCCTTATTTTCTTTATACAAATAATTCATACAAGATAATTTAATATTATCAAAATAACCATTAACATTAATAACTTTTAGGTATTTATAAACTTTTTTGAAGATTTTTAAATTTTTTTTTTTTTTTTTTTTTTTTTTTTATAGCATCCATTCATATTTATAGCAACTGTCAGGTGTCCATATGTTTTGCAAATTTAATTTATTCTCGAATTCTTTGCAAAATTATCTAATTCCAGTTTAAACGTGGGAATCGCGCTTGTATTATTTTACAGGAGTTCAATAACTGTATTTGAAAGTAGGCAATTTATCAACGCCCATGTATTGATAATTTTGGAATTGATAGTTATATCGATGGGACATACTTTTTACCTGTCGATCGAGCGCATTATATTTGTGACAGTGTTTTAACGCATTCGCCAGTTTTAGAATGTGTAAACTATAATGAGATTGAGCACCGAGGTTAAAATGCTATTAATTTGTATTTAATGAACACCCAACGGCAATTGTTTAAAGTGTGCCTGCGACACTAACTAATCTAACGTTTAACTAAACAGCTAAAGGTGAAGAAAATAAATATTGATTGCAATAGCGTTTGCATTTAGTTCAGGTCCCATCGCTTGCGTCGAATGTGATTTAAAATTTACATTTTGACATTCTGGTCAAAGGTCTAAGTCAAACGATCATTACCAGTGAACACACACATTTAATAACCGTACTGCTATAGACGTTTGTATATTTATTTACGTTGGTTTTATCCCGTCCGTACCTTTTCCGGTCGTCCAATTGTCCATTTTTATTGGCAGCCCAGCCAACTTGGAGAGTCCCGGAAAAAAGTGCCATACATCAACAGAAGCTACTGGAACGACACGGTCGAGGCCGTTCTATTACTTTTGCTACCGATCAACGCTCTATTAATACACTTCATTTGACTGTGTTCGTTACTTGTCGTTGGTTGGCCGCCGTACGGCATCGTTGTCGTCGTTTCGAAACACGTGCGCGAGATTCAGAATTTTTGAATTTTAATACCTAATTAATAACAAAATATAGTATTTTTTATCACAGGCGCCATTGTCAACCGAATTATTGTTTTTAATTTATATCTGTGTTTGATTATCCGATGTGAAGATGTACTCACAATAACATTACAGTGGAATTACTGCACTCTGGTCTGTCAATATTTACACGCGCTGACAACAATCGTCGAGTACTTTTACCATGTCACCGGCTGTGACGGCAGTCGGTCTCTGTTCGCGTTCACAACCTCAGTGAATTCGTAATGTATTTGCATGATTGCTAATTAATCTATTCGATATCCAAAATCAATGGCCGGAATTTGTTCGATGCCGTACGACCGCCGAAGGTCCGTTTCGCCTTCTTTTTCATGGCGCTATGTTGGCGATTACAATACTTGGACGACGCCTAGACGAAGGGATCACAAACGGTTTTCCGGAGCCGTAGCCGACACGATGATCACCGATAGGATTTACGGTCGTATACGTCGGGAAGCAAAGACGCCACCGCAGCCGATGATGTTTTCGCCTGACGCACCTGCTACCCTTGTGATTTATCCCAAACTATGCGGTTGCCGTTTGTTACCCGACGAGCGACGTTTTTCTTCGACCACCGCCACCATTACCGAGTAAGAAATAATACAATTATTTTTTGGTCGCACCCTGTACACCATGTCACATGTCAAACTGTATCAGTCAAATAAAAAATCCGCTAAAAACATTTGTAATTTTATATCTAACCCGTTTCGAATTTACTTCAGTTGCTAGTTTTATAAGTTTAATGGTTAGTTTTATCCGTGTAGCACATGCACGATAGTGTATAATAATGAACATTTTATTTATTATCACTGTCTATTTATTTCGTATAAGGTGATTTTTTGTCGAACAAATTTTCTTGTTTTCAAAGCAATAACTTATTCTGTTTTAACTGCTCACTGTTTAATTCTGGCGTAACTATTAGTATGAGTAAATAATTTTTGAATTTACATTTTTTCATAATTTGATTATACACTAGACAAGTGTATTGCCATACAATATTCTCGTTAAAAAAAATATTTTCTTTGCATAAAATAAAACACATTTGGTTTCTCACCTGTTAAAAAAAAACTATAAAATTCCTCGTTGGTAGCCTTGAAGCCGTTCACCGTTTTCCTATATATTTCTATACGTCTTTTTTATTATCTTATGTACTTCAATCATTGCTAGTTATGTGCGACTATTGTTCTGTACAAATTCGGTACACTTAACACAATGATACATTATTAGTAGTTAATTGTTTGGCTAATTTGTGACATATTATTAAACACGTTTTTGTATCAAGTGTATGTAGTATTTTTTATTTCCGTATCATACAAATTGCATTTAAGTAAGTGGTTAAACCAAAAATGTCCACCATATTTGTCTCAGAAAATTGAAATGTTTTGAAAATGTATTTGCCATGGTTTACATGAACGACTTAACCAAATATGGACATTATCTGTGTACTTAATTTGTGTAACGTTTCAAGCGACAATAGGTTTTTTAATTAAGACAAATTATGCGACGTATTCCCACATAAATTAATTGTCTGTTCGCTTACGGACGGGCTCTTAGAGCAAAGCGAAATGTGTTGAATAAAACAGTAACAAAATCGAGATGACACTTGTATCATTGGACCCGTAGAACGTATTTAAATGTGTACAAAACAATAAATAACTGCTACTGGTAAAGCGCCAGATGCTTATGGCCAGCGCATCATTAATCGCATTCCATACGAATTGTTAAAATAATGTTAATGAAATTGCGTTCAACGCGTTCCTGTAGAACGAAAGACATACCGTTATTATTATTGTAAATGTTTTGTTTGAAAATATTGCAACTCATATTTTCACAAAAATAATCATTGTAGAGCAGATTTATTTAATTTAACCATTGAAGATACACGTTAAGATATTGTTCTTATTTAGTCGTATTGTTATAGTACCTTTCTATAAGTGTAAAAACACAATTTTTTTCTTTCTTACTTTAATAATATATAGTCTGTTATAAAATAGAACAATTTGTATATGAACTAAGAGCTAAGTTGACTGTGATAATTATAATAGAAGCTTTACCTTAAAGCTTCTAGTGATAAAAGCCATAGAATATTGATACAAAAAAAATTTCCCTAGCTTTCAAACTTTAAATTGAAGAATTGTTTCGTTAAGAATTAGTTGAGTATTGACCAAGTTATGAGACATGAAATGTATAAATATTTTTTAAATAAGTTGTAAAACTTAACAAAACAAAAATTGAAATATTAATTGCTCATTAAAAAAATTTTTTTTCAAAAAACCCATTTAAAAATTTAATGGGTTATATTTAAAAAGTAGCTACAAATGTTGAGATCTATATCACAAGTTCGAGTGACTACAAATGGCCTTAAAAGTTGATTTTGACGGTCATTTTACAAAAAGCAAAAGCTTTTCCCTACTTTTTAACTTTTTTTTAAATAGACCTATTATTATAATTATAATTATACAGTTGTATTTGATGAAAATTTTTGTAAGGCTTTTAAATGTAACATTTATGATTTAGCACAACTAGATATTGAAATAATTGCTGTTAATTGTAACAAAAATATAAAAAGCTCAACATCCTAATATTATTACGATATTTTTATCAAAATTATCTTTAATTATAAATTTAAATATATATTTTAAAATAAATAGTACGACAAAATTATACCTAATTTTTACGTTTTTAAACGTAAAAAATACGTTTAATTAAATATCATGTATTATCATTATTTGTTAAGTTAAAGATATGCTTGAGGTATACACTCAATTAATACTTAAAATACACTAGATTTTTCTTATTCATTGATAAATAATTCATATAAAATTTCTATGCGAGTTTTAAAATGATGATATTATATTTGAGTATTATACCAACAAAGTAGTATAAACTTACAATATTCAATACTCATTTTTTCTCGACTATCTTATAAACAAATAAAACAACGGTATTTGGTATACCTTAAAAATAAACAAATGCATATTTTTGGGAGCACAAATAAAAAATTTAAATGCTCTTTCTCGTCCTAGATATGTTTCTCGAAAAAAAAAAATGAAAACTGTTTAAAATGACCAAAAAAAAAAAAAATAGTTTCTGCAATCTAAAAAACTTTCCTTTTCCTTAAACCCATCATATACAAGGTATTCAAAAAGTAAGGAAACGGGTGAATTATTACAAACAATGAGAACAAAAGAAATCCGTTTCCTTACTTTATACACTATAGAACATTAAAGGGTTTGTTAAAGATTTGTTTACTTTTTTCTATAATAATGTGATATTGAACGTTAATAATTTACCTTCATCCTTGATGTTCATCAACATTTTTATTAAAACGCCATATTTGAACACAGTGACCTAGTTACTTAGTCATAAAAAAAAATGACCAGTTTATATTACCGTGTCGGATAATTGTACTTGTTTTAGTAATAATAAATTTGTTGTTTTTTTAGTAGGAGTAAAAGTTCAAGCCGGTCAACCACTCCTCCGCCTTCGTTTGCAGAATGTCAACAAAGAATGAGTGGCAATTTAGAGCCACCTCAACACGAGGAAGGCTCGGAAATGTTTGAAGAACCTGTGGAGGAAATGGTGAGTTACTTCACCAGGGTATTTATGTAGCGTAGCGGTGATTTGGATTTTGTCATTGGATTTGTATTTCATTGAGAAATTTTCTCTTCCCTACTCTACAAATAAAAAACTACCAGATCTGTAAATTTTAAACACCTAGCCAGGGTCAGACACTCTAATACCCCTCTCCCTAAAATAATGTCACCGTAATGGTGTATACATTTTAAGGGAAGACGAGTCTATTGTGCGCGGGGTGTCACTTTGACATTTTGCATGCACACGCATTGGTAACATTAACCTAATCGGATTGAAGGGCTATCTGCCGTATAGCGAATACGCCTCTCTGTTATGTCACCGTTGCACTCAAGGGAACCAGAACATATTTAGCTGTTGTATGTTGTGCATTTACGAATCATATCGATATTGTTTCGTTTGGGGCTTCTCTGTAGTGTAGGTCCGTGTATGCGTTGAGCCGCTTTTCGGCACTTTCAGGAAAAATAAATACCTGTCGGTGTTGATACATTTTAGCTAAACGACAACATTTGTATTTATTGTATAATGGGTTTGTTTAATAAATCGAAAAAACAACGTGTGGACGAGTACATCCGGTATTCGTCTGTGAGTTCGTCCGGACGGAAAAGGAATAGAAGGGACACGGATTCGAATTCCAGCAGGAGATATAGGCGTAAAAAGGTTAGTCGATCATTAAGGTTGTGCATAATAATGCCGGCATAGCTGTATCGTTTTCATAGACATATTTATAGTTTTCATGCTGCTCTAAACAAGTATTTTTTGGCTGTATTGTTCCTTAGAAGAACTAACGCGATTTTTACACGGTTCGATAACACTTGTACTCGTTGCCACGAGTCTAATGCATTTTCACACTTCTTCAACTTCCATCGAAACGTTCACAAAATTTTCGGTGTATTCTAATGTGTAATTTTTTCATGTAATTTAATTGTTAGAGACAATAGACTCACGACCTACCAATACGTATCACTGTGCAAATTTCAGTTACTACGCGATTCATATTTAAATCTATCAGAATAATTGATGTAATTGTGCAATTATCTAAAAGAATTATATTTAAAGTTTCCCAGAGAATTAATAGTAAATGTTTATCAATATTATTACATTTTCTTTATTCTTTCCTGAAATCAACGCCTGATTTGGTTTAATGATACTCAACAATACTCTGCATAAGTATTGGTGTATATAAACATTTTAACGGCGTTACGTTATCCACGAACAAGAATTTTATTAAAAAGTAAAACCTCATACAAGTATGAAATTTTAAACAGATTACCATTACGTATACATTGTTTAGTAGCTCGCATAAATGAAATGTATAATTTATGCTATTAAATTTTGATACTGCCTTTATATTGAATGAAATATATACCTAAAGGAATATAAATGTAAAACATTGTATTACATTAATAGTAAAATGAAAATTAGTTTAAAGCCAATTTTATTCCTAAAGACTTAAGATTAAAAATAAAATAACTTATAGAATATTGAAATGAGTTGCAATTTTTACACGATTTTAAATTGTTTTCATAAACATTATTAGTATTCAAACAATTCTGAAAAAATTTAATGAGGATTTAATGACGTGGCAAAAGGCACCCAACGCTTGCGAAGAATGTAAATTATTTATTATCTTTTTTTCGTGATAAAATTTAAATGTTTTCGACACTTGCAGGCTTCTTTACTAATTTTAAAGTAATAAAAAGAGCATTATATGTTTTGTGGAAACAGCCATAAGAGTTATTTATTTTTATATGATATTTTATTAAAAATTTGATTTTTGGTTAAATACATTTTTCCATTGCAGTCAAAACTAAATAAAAACTCTGTATTTTAGTTTTATTGGTATAGCTTTTATTTGAATGGGAAAACAATTCAAGTCTTTAAAATTACTAAAAAGAGAAAATATATTTAGAAAAGTTCTTGTTATTTGTTAAAATAGTTCCCAACACATCAAGCGTCCGTAGTGTAAATTCAAAAAAACATTTATTGCATTAAGAATACTTGAAAGAATATTTTAAACTTCAAGAAAATTTTCTTGGTTAATTTTTACTAACCATATATTTTTCATGTTTTCTATTCATCGTGATTTCTATGTTTTATTGCAAATCATTTTTTATAAATAATTTTTCATATAAATTCGACCTCGGGGCAAAATATAATAAATAAATATTTAACGATTAAATTATTATTTTTTTATCGTATACACAAAAAAGTGGCGTGTAACCGGTTTGATATGTACGTGGTCATAAAAGTGGTTTATAAATTTATCTGTATCCCAACTATGTAGTCAATATTTCTATTGTTCTAATTTGTGATTCTTTTTTAACTTTTAAATACAAAGCGGTTCGAGTAAATTTTATTTACATTTATGCTGAGACTAATACCGTTACTTTTATTTCATGTAAAAAATAATATCATCAAATTGTTTGGAGTTAACTTATGCACGACATATTTTATAAACATACATATTTTATAACCAATTCATTTTTATCTTAAATATCTACAGAGTCTTTTTTTATTTAATTCGAATTAAAACGAATTATTAATAAAATTTAAACGAAACGAATGATTTGTAAACAAAAAAAATGATTTTTTAAGAATAGACAGCTATGTTGTTGAGAAATCTGAGGATACTCTTAAAAATATTGTGCGACGGCAAAGATCCTTAATATTCTATTTCGAACAAAAACGCCACAAAATACAAAACAGCCATAAAAATGGCTGCATGTATTAATATGATCGGTCGGTTTTTTAAACTGCATTTTCGGGTTAATGTTAAACTGATATAAGTCACCTCGTTAGTCGCTACCTCTTTGTAAATAACAACAACAAACTGGTATGGAAAACAAAAGAACCGAATACTTGAAAAGCAATTGTGTCAGGAAAGTTCTTGGAGCTACCGCGTGTGCTACGGCGAGGACCTCGAGGCTTAACAGTACAAGAACAATATACTGGGCTATTATATTGTCCAGCACCGGTTAATGGACACAACAAACCACAGCTATTATACGACGCGAACGGCGTCCGGTTATACTTCTCGCACGGGCCTAATCTCTTAGACGACAAGACGTTTTCAAGAATACTCTTATCTCTTCGAGTGTGTATCGTTCTCGTTTAAATTTATGGTAATTGTCGGACGCGTCGATTACTTCATTTATTACGTACATAAACACGCGGCCTCAATGGTATTTTAAATGGGACAGGACGGAACTGCAGCTGCTGCTTTTCCGCCGGCGATTTTGCCAGATTCGTCCCACGCAGCAAATGGTAAGCATTGAAAATCATAACGGCCTATAATACTTCACTTTTACGTGGTGTATAAACGAAAATCACGGCAAGACGAATCTAATAATGAGGTGGACAAGAGAAGTATCGTATCGGTGGTAATTATGCTCGTCGACGAGAGTTGTGGTAGAACGTCACAGTATGACAATGCCCCGAAAGAGTAGTACCGGCTGGTCGGACAACGGATTATTATTATTATTCCGTAGTCATTAATGTCTCTCCGACCGTAATATCTTATGCCGACATAGTTAGGATACACGCTGAAGCCGCGTCGCGTAAGCCCGAGAAGCGCAGCCAACACCGAAGGTTGCTGCATTCCTCTAGGTCCATTCGACGACAACGCTGCGGAGACCTTGAACGTTCTTTCAGACAACCTTTAGGCCACTAACCGGACCCTGTGGCGGTGTGGTACGCACGCCGTCGTTTGTGGTGGGGGAATCTTCTGACTACAGTCACTGACTCTACGACACCGCTCACTTCGTCGTCATCACCACCACCACTACCACATTTAACACTATACCGGCCACTCCTCCTCCTTTTCCTGATCCGCCGGTCGATTTCGTCTGGTCGGTCGGAAGCCTGACGCGCATGAACCACTTTTCCCTCTGTCGATACTTCGGAAATCGTTGGAGAATATCTATATATGCTTTTATTATTATACGTATTAGACTGGATGCTTACTCTTCAATGTTTTTTATTTTTATAGTCATGTTAAAACAACATCGTTATAATTTAATTGACCATCGTGTCAATTAAATTAGAACGATGTTGTCTCAGACAAGAATTCTAATCTGTATGTCGCACTCGACTGCTTAGGTAAACGATACAAATATGGTTTGGTATTAGTTGATAGTTTAGTATTTTGCATTGGGCGAAATATTCAAAATAATCTTCTGATAGTAATGAGCATAACAATTATTGTGTTACTGTTGTGTCCGAGTGCTTTAAAGTACTCAACAGTAAACGTAAATGAACATAAAAATATAATGTTATTTATGTAATACATTCTCTTGGTTTCCATGGCTTGCGTGATATAGGCAACAGCCGATTGTCTTCTCGCGGCAACGCAGTCACCGGTTTTCTGAACCGCCACCGTGGTCGCAGCAGTCGGCGGCCGCCGCCGTAGTGGACCCACTGCTTGTACCTGTTGCTGCATTCCGTAAACAAACAACCGCCCGGTCGGACGTAACATCATTTCAATAACCGCCGTCGTCGTGTTACGCCAATACACTGGTGTATTTATATGAATACACGCGTAAATACGTTTGTCTTATACTGCTGCGCAACGTACAATATTATCTAGTAGTGTGTTAATGAATGTGTATAGAATTCGTAGTGCGTTGTGAAGCTCTGCTCACGTCGATTGTGGCGAGTTCGTGGATAATCGCGTGACGTGTTTGGTGTAGTGCCCTCTTGATCACAAGTGCCGTTTCATAGCTAATCAAAATTGAGCGTTTGTGCGTGTCTAGCGTGTTCCTCGACCCCCGAGGATGCTATAACGGGTCCGAGACGTCTTGTAGTGGCGTCGACATGGACCACAGGGATTACGGGGGAGAACGCGTGTCTCCCCTGCCTGCGACATCGCCCCCACCGAATACAACGTCTTCTCCTCACACCGAACAGGTACTTTTTCCCTATGATGTAGTGAAATGGAAATATCTTCACCTCCCTAGAAACGACTGATTATTTCTGATCATACGTCG